AGGTGGACAGCATCAAGTTGGAGCATGCCGCGCACCTGACGCGGCTGGCGCGCAAGCGTGCCCGACGTGAAGACGAGCCTACGCCAGTGGCAGCTGATGATAAGGCAAAAGATGGCACGAGTGCTGGAGTGGGTCGCGCAGAGCAGCCAGTCTAGCACATCCCAGACGCGAATCACCACAACGCCTTCCTGCCGTCGCAAGGGGAGGCTTCAGCTGCTCCTGTGCAAGGGGCGTCAGCTGCCGCGGCAGCAGATGGCGGCGCCCCCGCGAGGCCTTCGCAAGGGGCAGCGCCTGCGGCGAAGCCTGAGGCCAAGCCGAAGGTCTCCTTCGCGGCCCCACCCGACGTCCGTGCTCGAACGCAGCGTGCGCTGGGTGAAGCTGGTGGCCGAGACGCTGGCGGCAAGGCAGATGGCGGCAAGAGTGGCGACTGACTCCCCCCCGTTGGTCGCGACGGTGTTCGACGGCCTGGACTTCGAGGATGCCGACGGGGGGGTGCCTACATGTACGACATAGACGGCTACCTGCACCAGTTCGACGACTGGAAGGAGGCGGAGCTCGAGCGGGACATCGCCGCGGCGGTGGCGCTGGGCGCCCCATCGCTCACCCCCGCAAGCTGCCCCCCGTGGGCAGAGCCTCCATTGCTAGTCTCACGTCATAGCCTGGCGTGTGACGACGGCGCAGAGAAGGCTTGGGAGCGCTCGCCCTCGGGGGTCGGCCTGGGGGCAGAGATGGGGAACGACAACGATGATTTCGGTAGGTGGTTTGAGCCTTTCCCTGCAGGATCCATTGCAGCTTGGCCTGTTTTTGAAACCTCTGGCCCTGGTTCTTGGGGCGGGGCCCCTCAGGGCGGATCCCTCGTCGCCAGATGCAGGGAGCGGCTCTTAACAATATTCCCTTTGCCTCAACTGGTGGAACCAGTTGAGCCTTCGGTCTCGGGTAACAGTGACCCTGAGGCCGATGGAGAAGCAGTCGCGGCTGCTAGCTTGAATCGGCCTGTCCTCTCTGCAATTGTACAGCCTGGTGCCCCCTTGGAACCTCACGAGGGGACGGTGGCGAACAAGAGCAAGAGGCTCCGACTTGAGACTTGTAACTGCACCTCGCTCGCGTCCCTGAAGCGATACCTGGACGCCGAGACCGGCGCGTCGCTCATCTGCGCCCAAGAGCTCACGCTCAAGGCCACCGACAGGGCCGAGACCGAGGCCTCGCTGAAGAAGAATGGGTGGTTGGCCTGTCTGCGCCCGTCCATCGTGACGGACGCTGGAGGACTGTCGTGTGGGGTTGGAATTATAGTTCGAAACAATATCGGGGTTTGGGGACATTCCCAAAAGTCGCGCCCTCCCCGCCCCCCACAGGTGCGCCCTTGCTTGGGTGAATGCCTCTGTGCCTGGTGGGGGGGTCATTCTCGGCAGCGTGTGCCTTCCTCAAGGGGCCCCCCTCGGTGAAGATGGGTGCCACCTTTTGGCCAGACTGGGGGGGGGGGGGCTTTGCGGGCTCGGGCTGCCCTTCATCATTGGGGGGGATTGGAAGTGCGAGCCCTCGTTCCTTCGCGCCGCGGGTTGGGTCGAGCGCCTCGGGGGGCAGATTGTGGCGCCCACGGTTTCCACTTGTCGCTCCGTGGCCAAGCGGTGGAAGACCATCGACTTTTATGCGTGCTCGGCCGCGTTGGCGCCGACCCTTTCTGACATTGGCAGGAGCGAAGATGCCGCCACCAGTCCGCGCTGGCCGATCGGCGTCACCTTGAAAGGGAACCCCGTTTGGACAAGGTCTGGGTTTTGCCTCGGCCTGCCCCCTTGCCTCGGGACGTCCCCCCTGGGCCCAGAGAGCCCCCGCCTGACTACCAGGCTGTTTTAGCGCGTGCTGAGGAAGGGGGGTCGGCCAGCGATCTGGACGGTTGCTTCGGCGTTTTCTTGGGGGTGAGCTTGAACGCGAGCTTGGCTCCACTTACCAAGTCCATGATGCCGAGTATTTTGGCCGAGGCAAGCAGAAACGTTTGAAGCAAGTCCCCGCTCTTCGAACCTCAGGAGGTGCGTTCCCTCTCGGATGTCCTCAGTCTCGGGGGTGTAGGAAAGTGAGCATTCTCCTCCGCGAGCTGCGCCGCCTGAGAGCCAAGGAAGACTCCTGGGGGCTGCCTGAATCGTCCAGGATCATATGTAAAATCATGCATGGACCTGCCAGCCTTAGGAACGACGTGGAATGGCTGAGCTGGAAGCCGCTGTTCCCTGACGTCCTGCTCGCCTGTTCGGTCCAGGACTTGGATGCGCTCAAGAGGGAGGCCGCCGATATAGCGGATAGGCTCGAGCGCCAGTTCAAGTCGGTTCGGGGGGAACGTTGGAGAGGTTGGGTCCAGGGCGCTGCTAGCAACGGGGGCGGGGCTGCCCATGCATGCAGTAAGGCCCCCATCGGATGGCAACCTGCGTCGGCCAGACCAGGAGACCCCCCCCCGGGCCCTGGGGCCCTCATGGACCATGTGCAGAGAGTTTGGGAGGATGTCTGGACCCAGCCTGCTGAAGCGTCACACTTCCCTGACGCCATCCCCTTCTTGGACCGCCACATTCTCGGTCTGCGTGCCCAAGGGCGCGAGTTCGCTGCGGCCCCTGTCAGAGCCTCGGTGAGCGATGTCAGGGACGCCGCTCGCCGATTTAAGAAGCGCACGGCGCTTGGGTCGGACGCGATCCACCCTCGGGACTTGGCTCTGGTTTGTGACGAGGCGCTCGAGACCCTGTGTGCGGTCTGGCAGTAGAGTGAGGCCATTGGTCGCATTCCAGTGCAGCTCGCGCTCATGTTCACGGCGCTCCCTCCCAAGCCCGACGGGGGGTTCAGGCCGATCGGGCTGCCGCCAGGGATTTGCAGGGTCTTTGGCAAAGTCACGCGTAGAGAGGCTGTGGCCTGGGAGCGCAGCCAGAAAAGGACGCGCCATTACGGCTCGGCTGGCAAGAGCTGTGAGCGGGCGGTCTGGGAGCAAGCGCAAGCCATTGAGTATGGTACTTTGGTCGGGATCGGGGCGGCCGCGGCCCTGGTGGACCTTGCGAAAGCGTGCGAAAAAGTGTTGCACATCCTTCTGGTCCATGCGGCTATGCGCCATGGGTTTCCGCTGGTCAGGCTCCGTCTGCTGCTCGCTATGTATCAGGCCCCCAAGTTGCTCCAGATGGGGCAGGTCATGTCCGGTGTCATTTACGCCGGCCAGGGGATCATTGCGGGATGCGCCTTCGCGACCAGTCTGATGGAACTCATCCTGCTCGCCCCCGTCGATGCTATGATCATCCACTGGCCGAGCACGCGAGTTTTTAATGTGGTGGACGACATCACTTTGTTCGCGGCTGGTGCGATAGCTCACCTCGGTCGGCGGCTTGGGACCGCTGCCCAATGCCTTCTCAGCCAGCTCCAGGGGCTCCACTTGGTGATTTCAAGGGACAAGGGCGTGGCCATGGCCACGCATGCTGAAATTGGGAGAGAGGTGGGTACTAAGATCAAAGGGTGGGGTTTCAGGTTTGGAAGGCCACCAAAAATTTCGGGGTGGATTTTACCTTCAAAAAACGACAACGGAGCGCTGGGGTCCAGAAGAAACGAGTTGCCTCCCTCAAGCCACGTGTGAGGAGGTTTCGAGGGTTGCGCCCCTCTTTCCGCGGTGCCGCCAAAGTCGTAAAGACTGGAGGTGTGCCCGCGGTGATGTATGGCAGTGCTGCGATGGGCGTGGCTGATGCCAAGCTGCGCCAAGTCAGGTCGCTCTTGGGTCAGGCCGTCTTCGGAACCCCCAAAGGTAGATCCAGGACTATTCAATTCCAGCTTGGAGGGGACCCTAAGACGGACCCAACCTTTGCGGCTAACACCGCCCCCTCCTGATGCGGTGCCTTGCGCTGCATGGAGACTGGGCGCCTAGAGCTCAGATGCGCAAGAGTTTTGAAGCCTTCTTGAACACCCCTGGGTTCGGTTGGGGACAGGTCACTGGACCTGCTGGTGCAGTGTTGTGCACCCTTCGTCGCCTTGGCTGGGCGGTGCGAGGGCGCTGCGATTGGGTGACGGACCGTGGGATCCCGATTGACCCCAGTGTGCTTGGGAAGAGATCTCTCGAGACCTTGATCGAGCTCTCTACGCAGAGGGGGCTGGTCCAGTCAATTGGGCGTAAAGTTGACGGGCTGTCTTCTGGGCCCCTCCCGGGGCCGATCGTCCAGAAATTGTCCAAGCTTAGAGCTCAGGGCCGTGGTCTTGAGGCGGCCATGGTGTCAAGCGTCGTGGCTGGAGGCTACGCGACGCAGCAGAGCCTTTTTGCGGGGCGCCGTGTCCTGAGTCCGCTTTGTAAGTGGTGCGGCGGGTCCACTGGCGCCCCGAAGCGCAGGTTTTTTTCGACTGTGACGGCAGCCGTGCTGTTCGTGAAAACCTTGACCTCGACGACTTCCTGGCCCTGGGTCGTGAAAGAGGTGACGAAGACCCTGGCACGACCAGGGCGTTGTTGCCCAGTCCCGAATGGAGTTGGCCCACCCCCCCGTGTGGATGCCAGCTTCCAGTGGATGGTCTACCCCCCCCCTGGGTCCCTGGACACTGGCATGATCTGCCTGGGTGGATCTGCTGTGGGCCCCGACAGTGATTTGTTCGCCCGTGCGGGGTGGGGGGCCGTGGTCGTCGATATAGGGGGAAACGTTGTTGGGAACATGCATGGTCATCTTCCCCACCCGCTCCAATGGGCGGGCGGGGGGGGGGGGGGACTCGTTTCTCATGGCTCTTAGGCGTTTGGGGGCGTGTGAAACGGAGTTCATGACGGACTGCAAGATGGTCCTGGATATATGGGCCTTGGGGCCAGACCAGGACTTCACCAATGTGGCATTCAGCGAGATCTGGTGCGATATGTTTGCCAGGGCTCGGGGTGTGGGGCTGCGTAACATCCGCGTGAGTAAGATTAATGTCACCATTCTCGGGGCCAGGCTCTGGATCGGGGGGTCCTGTACTAGGCCTGGGCTGGGGACCAAGAAGCGGGCCGTCTTGCTCGGATAGATCCCGAATTGCAGCCCCACAGCCCTGAAGTGCGGAGGCTAATGCAGGTCCAGGAAGCGCTCGTGGCCCAGGGGGTGTGCACATTCACGAGACGACGAGGCACCTTTCAAAGCTCGGCCTCCCAGATGTCGAGAAGGTCCGAGCGAGGACCAAGTGCAGGCCGAATTACCTCGAGTTGGTGCCCGATGCTCTTGGACACCAGCTGAGCCGAGTGGATACAAAAGGGCAAGTGTCGGTGTGCACGGTGCGGAGAGACAGGCAGTAGAATAGGAATCTGCAAGGTGCCGTGCCGTGGCGTGCCGAGGGTCGCTCGTTCGGCCCATTCCTCCCACCGTCTGTATTTGGGGGGAAGCCGTATCGCGTGGTGCGCGCGGTGCGGTGCGTTCGGGGCCCAACGTTCGCAGTTTTTGCGTGGGGTGTGTTTGGGCCGCCCCCGTAATACAGATGCCTCTCAGAGCTTGAGGAAGCTCCGCCGAGGCGTCGACCCGTCTTCGGGCCGAGAATTCGGTCGGTCCGAGCCGCTCTCCAGTGTGTGCTGAGAGTGAGGGGAGAGCGGGGGGCCGCCCTGTCGTCGTCGTCGTGTCCTGCCCATCTTCCACCGCGGCAGCGACAAGTACGGCTAGCAGGTGCGCGCGCCCGCTCTCTCATTCTTTTATCATGTGCTCACGCGTTTCACGCTTTGCGCGAGGGGTGTGATCGCGTTCGCAGAAGGTCGCATAAGGGAGGAGGAGGGAGGAGAGGAGGAGAAGGAAGACAGGACGGAGGAGGAGGGGAAGGTGGAGGAGAAGGATGCGGAGAAGGAGGAGCAGGAGGAGGAGACGGAGGAGACGGAGGAGAAGCGGAGACGGAGGCAACAGGATGAGAGGATGAGACAGCGGAGGGAGGAGAGATGAGGGAGGGCAGAAGAATGCGGGAGAGGAGGGTGGAATGAGGGAGCGACGGCGGGCGGGCGGGGGGGAGGGGGAGGAGGCGGAGGAGGAGGAAGAGGATGAGGCTGAGGAGGAGGAGGAGGAGGAGGAGGAAGGGGTTGGAGGCGGCGGGAGGACGGGGGAGGAGGAGGGACGATGAGGAGGGAGGAGGAGGGATGAGGAGAAGGAGGATGAATGAACAGGAAGAGAAGGATGAGGAGAGACCAGGAAGGAGGCACGAGGGAGGCGTGAGGATGGTCGAGGGAGGGGAGAGGAAGTAGGAGGGAGCACATGAAGAGGAGGAGGCGGAGGAGGAAGAGGCGGAGGTGGAGGATGAGGTGGAGGAGGAGTGTGAGGAGGAGGAGGAGGCGGGGGAGTAGGAGGAAGAGGATGAGGGAGGCCGGAGGCGGGGGGAGAGAGGAGGAAGGAACGACAGCGGAGGAGGAGGAGGAGGAGGACGACGAGGCGCGGGACGGGGATGGTGATGCTGATGGTGATGTTGATGCTGATGAGTAAGATGACGCGGCTGATGCTGCTGCTGATGCCGATCACGACGCTGGTGCCGACGCTGCTGCGGATGATGATGCTGATGATGAGGATGATGAGGATGCTGATGATGATGATGCTGCTGACGATGCCGATCCTGGTAAAGCTGCTACTGAGGATGATTATGAACATGATTAAGATGACGATGATGGCGATGCTGATGATGATGGTGATGCTGTCCTTGCCGATGATGACAATGTTGCTACTGATAATGATGCCACTGATGATGCTGATGCTGATGATGTTGGTCATGCTCATGCTGATGATGCTGACGAAGCTGATACTGGCGATGCTGATGATGCTGCTGCTGATGATGATAACGATGCTGATGATACTGATGCTGATGATGCTGTTTCTGCTGATGATGGTGATGATGGTGGTGGTGCTGGTGATTGTGATGATGAGTGGTGATGCTGATGATAATGCTGCTGCGGCTTATGATGACTGTGCTGATGCTGATGATGATGGTGGTGGTGGTGCTGATGATGATGAGATGATGATGATGATGATGATGATGATGGTGGTGGTGGTGGTGGTGATGATGATGATGATGATGATGGTGTTGCTGCTGCTGCTGATGATGATGATGATGGTGGTGGTGGTGGTGATGATGATGATGCTGATGCTGATGATGATGCGGATGATGATGATGAGGAGGAGGAGGAGACGGGGGGGGGAGAGGGGAGGAAGAGTATGAAGAGGCGGAGGAGGAGGAGGAGACGGAGGAGACGGAGGAGGAGAGGCTGTTCCAGAAGGCCCGATGGGGTTCTTCTAAGCAGATCGCAGGGGCGAGGGGGCGGGGTTGAGGGAGGGGGTTAGACGGGAATGCGGGGAGGCGGAAGGGGGGATCGGCAGGGGCTGGAGAGGAGACGGGCCTCCCGCGGCGACGACAAGGATGAAAATGAGGATGTGGATGCTGTTGCTGGTGCTGACCACGGCGAGCCTGCGCGCTTGGGAAAGGATTAGTGTCTGGGAGCGCCTGGGGCAATCAGAGGAGCGGTCGGGTTCAAAACCGAGGTCGGCAAGGGATGCCCAAAGCGTATCGACGTATTACGTCCTTGCTATCGATGTATTGTTGCGTTCTTGCCTGTTTTTTTCCAGGGGGCTGCTCGGGGGCCAGGGTGTTGGGAGATGTTGAAGACCAGTAGATGCACACAGTTGTTTATTATTTATTGTTTTGGTTGATGCTGTATTTGTGGTGGTGAGGGTTGGGTTGGGTGGATGTGCAGCAAACCGTATTGTATCATGGGTGATAAAGTGTGTCAGCCGTATGGATATACACCAGATACTGTATGCGACCTAGGATGGTGAGGGTTGCGTTGCATGGATGTCCATCGCGTTGGGGGCCTAGAGCGGGAAGGGTTGGGTCGTATGGATGCGCGCCATAATATAGTGTTTTCCATGTCATGGTAAGGGTGGGGTCGTATGGGTTAGTAGGTTTGCATTTGTGGCTAAGAGTGGTGAGGGTTGGATCGGATGGATGTGCACCGAGTACGTTTCTTGCATGGGATATGAGGGTTGGCTCGCGTGGATGGTCGGGGCGCTAGAGCGAGAACTACAATTTGAAAATCACTCCGCCTACACCCTTGAATATGTTTAGTTTGTGTTCCATGAGTGCGCGCGGCGTGTAGGCGAAAACCACATTTTGGAAACCACCCGGGCTCCATCCTGAAAGTTGTTTCAACCTTTCAAAACAAATCTATTTGGCGCCAGGGCGAGAGCCACATTATGAAAATCACCCAGGCTCCACCCTTGAAGCTGTGGCAGGTTTCTAAGTGCGTGCGCGCGGCGTTTGGGCGAGAGCCACATTGAGAGCCCCTTTGGGCTCCATAATTGAAACTGCTGCGGAGTTCGAACTGCCGGATCATAATTGGTGAGCAAGTCTCGGACGAAACGCCCAAACCGGCCTACGGACACGTCCAGTGGTTCGACGAGGCTAAGTCATTTGTTAGAAGAAGGAGTGGAGCAGGAGGAGGGACAGGAGGAGTGGAGCCGGATGGACAAGCAGGAGGAGGAGGGTCAGGAAGGGGAGTGTGGACAAGCAGGAGGAGGATGAACAGGAGGCGGAGGAGGACGAGGACGAGGAGGAGGAGGAGGAGGAGGAAAAGAGGGGAAGGTTCCGCCTCCTTTCTCCTCCCCCCCTCGCAGGTGAGCATGTTATCACCTGGGATTTGGTGCGACAATTTGTTCAACGTTTCCGCTGCACCTTTTTTATTTGTCAACCCAGTATGGCAAAAGAAGCACGCTAAGCGCAAAACCCCGCAGTCCCTGATCCTTTTACCACTCCTCTTCGCCGTCCCCCTGTCGTCCTCTAGGCGAGAGCTCGAGGACATGTTGGTGGAGATCAAGCAGAGCATCTCAAAGGGGTCCGAGGGCATGGACACGCAGTTCTTCGACGCGGTCTTCGCGACGCCCTCCCCGCGAGCTGGTAGAGGGACGAGCGAGGTTCGAGCTTCGACGAGATTTAAACTTCCTGCACGTTTTCTGATCATTCTGGCTTCCTGGACCTTCCTCGGCGCCGCGGTTGGATCATCTACAAAGTTCTGGCCAGACCTGGATATCCATAGACTCGAACACAGTATATCTATATGCATATATCAGTGAGGAAGAGAGAGAGAGAGAGAGAGAGAGACAGAGAGAGAGAGAGATAAACAAAAACACATGCACGCTTCTTTTTGTGGTGGGAATATTGATCCCGTTTTCTGGACCTTGAGCCAGAGAACGGCAGAGCCCATCCCATGGGTCGAGAGGACCTGGACGCCCTGGGAAGCGGGGAGGTTCGGTCGCGCCACATCTGACATCCGACCCCTCCCTCCCATATCTTCCCGTTTCGCTGTTTTTTGTCTTACCACGGACGCGCGTAGTGGCCGATCTGGAACTCCAGCAAACAGAAACAACCCATCGTGTTATCCACGGGCGGAATTGGGGAGTTGCGTGGAAGGAGCGGGGGAAGCAGGCGGTTCAGGGGAAGGCGGAGGAGAGGTGAGGGTGCTGGCAAAGATGACAAACTAACCTGGATCCAGAAAAGTGGCCCACGCTGAGGCGAGAGCGTCGTTTTGAAGGAACGGAACGAAGCGCCGGTCCAAAAATGAGGCCCATGCTGCAGCGGGAACACCGTTTTGAAACATCAAAGCCGCAGGGTAAAACAACCATATCATGTCAGCCAGCACGGACCCCAAACGGCGTGTTTCTGACAATCTATGTGGTGCACTCTGTGTGTGGGGTAAATTAATGTGGTCGTTGGTTCTTACACCTGGGTTGAAACGTTTGCCCTTGCGAGCATCCCACCCACCCACCAGTAATTTGGTTTGCAAAACCCATACGGCACCGATTGCGATGAGTGCTTGGCGTTGGCTGGTGCATGTCTGCGGCCGCGCATGCTCGCGCGCACAGTGGCCAGGTATTTTGGAGCGGCCGACGCCGCCGCGGTGGCGATGACCGCTGGGCACTTCCCAGCGGGCACTTCAGTGCGATGGTGGCGATGGCGGCGATGACGACAGCACGGCCAATGACGGCCCCGATGTTGATCATGCCCGCCGATCACGATGACGATGTCTTTGCGTCGGCGATGAAAATTTTTGAATAAGTTCGACATGCGCGCGCGGCCGACGCGCGAAACCGACGCGCGCGACTGGACCGCTTGGTATCATTTCATGCGGATCGTGCCCCCAAAGGACGTGGGCGATGGCGTTCGAGTGAATCCGACGTGCGGCGCGAGAGGCCCGTTTGGCAGAAATCTGTGAACATGTTGGAACACCGAAGGTTTTTCTTCAGAGCTCGCAAAACCGCGATCGTGTGGTTTTTACCTAACAGCGAAGACTGATAGGTTTCTAGTAGGGTCAAAAGAGAGCAGCAGATGACTCCACAGGGGGGTCCGGGCAGGTGTTGGGAGTTGCCGGGCGGCAGGGTGCCGGGCTCGTTTTTCACCAACAGTCACACACTTCGTGCTCTTCGAGTTCCCAGAACTCCATTCCCAGGCTCATTCTGAATAACCGGATGCAACAGTCACACACTTCGTGCTCTTCGAGATCCCAGAACGCCATTCCCGGGCCACATTCTGAAGGGCCGGATGCAACAGTCACACACTTCGTGCTCTTCGAGTTCCCAGAACTCCATTCCCGGGCCACATTTTGGATGCCCGGAGCCAACAGTAGGCCACTTCGTGCTCTTCGAGTTCCCAGAACTCCATTCCCGGGCCACATTTTGGATGCCCGGAGCCAACTGTAGGCCACTTCGTGCTCTTCGAGTTCCCAGAACTCCATTCCCGGGCCACATTTTGAATGCCCGGAGCCAACTGTAGGCCACTTCGTGCTCTTCGAGTTCCCAGAACTCCATTCCCGGGCCACATTTTGAATGCCCGTAGCCAACTGTAGGCAACTTCGTGCTCTTCGACTTCCCAGAACTCCCATTCCTGGGCCACATTTTCAGCAGGGGCAAGAGCACGACGAGGAGGAGGACGAGCAAGACCAGGAGGACGAGGACGAGCAGGAGCAGGACGAGGAGCAGGAGGAGCAGGAGAAGAAGGACGAGCAGGAGGAGGAGGAGGACGAGCAGGAGGAGGAGGACGACCAGGAGGAGGAGGACGACCAGGAAGAGGAGGAGGAGGAGGAGGGGAGGGGGAGGAGTACCAGGAGGAGGAGGAGGAGGAGGAGGAGGAGGAGGAGGAGGAGGAGGAGGAGGAGGAGGAGGAGGAGGACGAGGACGAGGAGGAGGAGGAGGAGGAGGGGGGGAGAGTACCAGGAGGAGGAGAACGAGGACCACCAGGAGGAGGAGGAGGAGGAGGAGGAGGAGGAGGAGGAGAGAACACCAGGAGGAGGAGGACGAGCAAGACGAGGAGGACGAGAACGAGGACGACCAGGAAGAGGAGGAGGAGGAGGAGGAGGAGGAGGGGGAGGACTACCAGGAGGAGGAGGAGGAGGAGGAGGAGGAGGAGGAAGAGGAGGACGAGGAGGAGGAGGAGGAGGACGAGGAGGAGGAGGGGGGGGGAGAGCACCAGGGAGGAGAACGAGGAGGAGAGGAGGAGGGAGGAGGAGGAGGAGGAGGAGGACGAGGAGGACGAGAACGAGGACGAGCAGGGAGGAATAGGAGAGGAGGAGGAGGAGGAGGAGGAGGAGGAGAGGAGAAAGAGGAGGAGGAGGAGGCAGGCTGAGGCTGAGGCTGTGACTGCGACTGCCGTTGCCGCTGCGACTGTCATCGCGACTGCGACTACGACTGCGAGAACAGCAGAATTCGACAACTGGATTTTCATCTGAATCTTAAGGGGAATGCTTTCAGATATGCTTCTACACATCGCTGTTAGGTTGCTTTGCCGGGATAATTTTGGGAACTGATGTTGGACAACCATATGTTTTGGTATGTTTTCGGGACACCCGATTTCGACATCCTTACGGAACCTGAGGTTTTTGAAGAACTTCGGCATGCGCGCGACGACGCGCGCGCACTTCGTCCCAACTGTTGCAAAGGAGTCTTGCGACATCACGCGCGCAGGGGCCTCCGAATGAGTTTGGCATGCGGCGCGAGAGGCCCGTTTTGCGGAATATGGTGAACATCTTGAAAACGTCATTGTTTTCTTGAGAAGCCGCGAGACCGCGAGCGCAGGACATTTTTGAAACTGATGTTGCGTTGCCAGGTGTTTCTATATGTTTTCGGGACACTCGATTGTGACATCCCTGCGAAACCACAAGTTTTTGAAAGATTCCGGAATGCGCACGCGACGGCACGCGCGTGCACAATCCGTCAAAGCTTTTGCATGGGATTCTTGAAAGCCGATGATGTATGATGAACGCATGAGCGCGCATTTTATTTTTGCAGAGGATGAGAGGGGAAAGCCGGTACCGGCCTGACTTGGATGGCGCGGGTTCAGATGTAGGATGGATGATGGGGCCGAATCGCATATACCTTGCATTGCGAAAAGGTGGCCGGTTAACCCTAGGGAGGGGGGGGGGGTAGATCTTAATATTCGTGTAGACCGTCTGTGATGCCGGGTACGTCGCGCAATCTATGGTCCGCAGTCTATGTTGAGCATTTCACGTCGGGCAATATGTGTGGAGCGATCTATGTGATGCAGCAAATGTGGTGCAAATATCCACGGGTCGCGCCATCAGCCCACCCACCCACCCGCATTTTCGTTTGCAAAACCCACGCGGCGGCGATTGCGATGAGTGCTCGGCGTTGGCTGGTGTACCTTTGCGGCCGCGCTTGCCCGCGAATGCTCGCGCGCTCAGCGGCCAGGTAGTTTGGCGCGGCCGACGCGGCCGCGGTGGCGCTGATCGCTGGGCATTTCCGATCGGGCACACCAGTGCGACTCGGTGACTTGGGCGGGCGTGGTATGATGGCGACGCCGATAACGGTAGACACGTTTGAGAGTATCTATGATGGTGGCGATGGTGGCGATGACGACGGCACGGCCCATGATGGCGCCGATGTTGATCACGTCCGCCGATAACGATGACGATGTCCTCGCGTCGGCGATGAAGGTTTTCGGAGGAAGTCTAGACGTTCGCGTATCCCCACTAGCCCATCCAGATAAGATGTCCAGGCGAATTGAGGTGATCAGGGAAGTGCTGCAGCAAAGAGGAGGACGGCCGAACCGTGCAAAGGAGTGAGGAGGAGAAGGAGGAGGTGGATGGATGGATGGATGAGGGAGTGGGAAAAACGGAGGATGAATAGGGAGGAGGAGGAGGAGGACGAGAAGGAGTAGGAGCAGGAAGGGGGAACAGGAGAAGGAGGAGGGAAACCACAAGGGCCAGAGGTCTCTGGGATGCCTCTCGGAGCCTCTTGGGGTATCTCTTGGGCGATTCTTGGTGGCCCCTTGGGACGTCTTGGGGGTCTCTTGGCGATCCTGGGGGGGTCTTTGGGGTCTTGGGTGCCTCGGGGAGGGCTTCTTGGGGCCGCTTTGGGTCTTCGTGGGGGCCTCCTGGGAGCCTGTTGGGGGCCTCTTGGGGCCATCTTGGGGCCATCTTGGGGCCATCTTGGGACCTCTTGGGGCCTCCTGGGCGTTTCTTGGGGCCATCTTGGAGGAGATCGGTCAACGAAGGGGGGGTCCTCAATTACGCCCCCCCCTCAAGAGCACCCAGGATCGCCTCTTGGACCCATCTTGGAGCGTTATTGGAGCGCTCTTCGGCGCTCTTGGGGCCGTCTTGGGGCTCTCTGGGCCCACTGTTCGGCCCCAGTTGGGCCATCTTGGAGCGATGTTGAGGCCTCGGATGGGCATCGGACGCGCAAGCGCGATCACGCCAAACACATAGATTTTTCGCGTATGGTTTTGAAGCATTTTGGCCTGGTCGGCGCGTCCTTGGGGAGCTCTTTTGGCCACTTAGACCCGTCTTGAAGCGGTCTTGGAGCGTCGTGGAGCACCTTCGGAGCTATGTCGAGGCATCTCGTGCTATCTTGAACCATCT